ACTGATGGCACCCAGTGGAACTTCAGCATGCAGCTGGAAGAGCAGCATGAGTGTGAGTGTGTGCGAGACAGAGAATTCACATGCATGTTCATGTCACACAGTCCGGACATGTTTGTGTCACTGAAGGCCGGATGGAGGTTCTGGCTGCTCCCACGGCCTCACGCAGGTAACATCTGTCTACAAACACTAAGACCCACAAACCTGATACTCACTCAAAACACTTCTGGTAGCTGACAGTGACAACACAGTGGATAATACCACACAACATAAGAAAGAGGACAAAACATCTCAAATGAATCCTCTCAGCTTCCTCCATTTGTCCTATCAACAAACTTAACCCCTCCCTGAAATCTGCAGTCTCACAGACTTATGACGAGAGCTTATGACGTTAGGATGCGTAAATTAAGACACTTCGCTTTGTGGCTCATCCCTCTCTTTATCACCACGGAGCAAAATGACTCCTACATTACTGCTGCTAAGCAGCGGTCAATCACATAATTGCTTTTACCCTCTGTTGTAAATAATCCTGCTGTCAAATATATTAGAAATTCAACTTGCTCTCCAGCTTAGACACTGAAACATCATGTGAGCTTCAGAAAATAATTTGTTATACTCAATTCCAAACTGAGTTAACCAAACATGAACATGTAATCAGAATTGTGCAGTCATTAAAAGGCCATATTTGCATTTACTACCTGATTTTATTTGTATGCATATATTTCTGATTGCATTTTCTTTATGTATTGGAGTCTGGAGAAATTAAATGCAGTAGAATGATAATATGAAACAGATAAGGCAAAGTACGACACTATGTGAACTGAAATGTAATTCAGTAACAGCAGAGGTTCATAAAAATAAATGTGTGTTTTGTGTGTGTGTCATGGAGAATTGGGGAACAGAGTGTTTTTTGGGGCAATGCAACCTGTCTGCACGTGAGCAGAAGGTATCCACATACACGCAGGTGCACACACGCTGCATATGTGAATATGCGGACATATGCACAGATACGAGCACATAAACAGGCTAACAGGCAAACACATGTAGGCACATATGCACAGACAAACACCCACAAAAACACAAACATAAAGTCTAAAACTAATGGCATCGAGGTCTGACTTAAAAAAACACTAACCTTGTTTTCTCTTTTGTGCACAGTACGTAAGATGAACACACTCAATTTGCTGAAGTGTTAAGATATATTTTTAAACCAAGCCATCGTCATCACATACTGGGGAAGGACAAAACAAAGAATATAATAGCCCCACATCCGAGGTGCATTCAAACAATCTTTATCTATACATCAGCCTGGATTCTGCAGCAACAACATACAAATAGTTTACAGGCTGGAAGTTTGATATATATAATTTTTATCTGGTCATCTGGTACTCCACAGCACACATTTCACACCTGAGTGCAAAATAGGTGACCCAGAACAGAACAGAGCAGCGTAGAGCCATGCTGGACCATACTGGCTCCCAAGCTGTCCTGCTGCACAGCACACCTTCAGCACTGTGGCTGCAGCTGCTCTGTCCCGTCTCGTGTGTGCATTCGTGTGTGTGCGTCTGCTCTTGTGTGTACGTATCCCCTGCACAGGATCTGTCTGACCGCAGCTGTCCCTACCTCTATGCGGGTCTCCGGGGCGAGGCTGACCTCTCTCTCCTGAAGCCACTTCAAAGCGACCTGGGATGGGCTGGAGGGGTACGGGGTGTTGGGCCGGCCAGCACGGCTGCTGCTTCCCTGGGCTTTGGGAGCTGGGGAGCTGGGGCTGGAGTTAAGGTTAGTGGGGGTGGAAGGGAAGCGTAGAGAGGTGGAGTAGGATTGGGTGTGTTGCAGGAGGTGAAGGGAGTCCCAAACATGGATGGGATGGGAGGTGGGGGGTATGTGTGTGGCAGGAGGGCAGAGACAGGAGGTATGGGAATGGGGGTAGGGATGTTGTAGTCGAAAGCTGGAAGAGTGTGTGTGTGTGTGTGTGTGTGTGTGTGTGTGTGTGTGTGTGTGTGTGTGTGTGTG